TTTTTTTTTTTGGAATGAAAATAGATAGATAGTCTGGCGTAGTAATCCGTGTTTCCTTGAAGTTCTTTCAGCTTCTATGCGCGTACCACTATATACCAGTCTTTATAAGCAACTTTACTCACTCACACAAATTTTCAGCTAAAATTCCTGTAATACAAACAAACAAAAATGGGCAAATTTTTCCATTTTCAATCGCCTTTGAATTCACAAAGTTCTGATCATTCAGAGCCAAATCAGTACTCAGAATCATCTTCAGACACATCCATAGCCTCCCAACCCAGCCTCCCCTCAGTCCCCTCCCTCCAACAACCCACCGCCGCCGCTATCCACCACTGTTCCTCAACTCTAAAGACCCAATCCTCTCAAATATTTTCCCTCACCCACGCCGGAAAACACCTCTACTGCGGCGGAGCCGACGGCAGCATCACCGTTTGCGACCGCAGCCTCCAAAATCCCGATCTCACCGCGGCGGCAAAGAGCTCCTCCGCCGTGAAGTCGATATCGATCTGCGGAGACAGAGTGTTCGCCGCCCACCAGGACCACAAGATCCGCGTCTGGAAGATGGACGCGAGGCAGCCTGAGCTCAACAAAATCGCCGTCCTGCCCACCCTGGGCGACCGGTGCGCGCGCTTCTTCTCCCCCAAAAACTATGTCAAAATCCGCCGGCACAAGCGGAGCACGTGGATCCACCACGTCGATGCCGTCTCCGCCCTCGCCCTGAACGGAAACAGCTCCCTCCTCTACTCCGCGTCCTGGGACAGATCCTTCAAGGTGTGGCGCACCTCTGACTTCAAGTGCCTCGAGTCCGTGCAGAACGCGCACGACGACGCCATAAACGCCGTCGTTTTGTCCAGTGACGGAGTTCTGTACACCGGCTCGGCCGATCGGAAAATCAAGGTCTGGAAGAGGCGGGAGGGCGAGGGAAAGCACTCTCTTGTTTCAACGCTGGAAAAACATAGATCGGGCGTGAATGCGCTGGCTCTGAACGGGGACGGCTCGGTTCTGTACTCGGGAGCGTGCGATAGGTCAATTGTGGTGTGGGAGAAGAGTGGCCACGGCCATATGGCGGTGGCAGGGGCGCTGAGGGGTCACACAAAGGCTATTCTGTGTTTGGGTGTAGTGAATGAGGTGGTGTTCAGTGGGTCGGCGGATAAGAGTGTGAGAGTGTGGAGGAGAGGGAGTGGGTATTCCTATTCCTATTCCTGCGCCGCCGTGTTAGACGGCCATACAAATCCGGTCAAGTGTCTCACCGCTTCTTTCGAGTGCAGTCATAACAATGGCCACTCTTTTGTGGTTTACAGTGGCAGTTTGGATTGTGAGGTTAAGGTTTGGAAAATTTGGGTCCCTTTTACCAGTTAGATAGATTACATATAGGTTTTGAGTTTTTCCACCATATTTTGTAAACATCTTGTTTAGTTTTTTTTTTTTCTTTTGTAATTTTAATTACTTCATATAAATAAGAACCTTTATACAAAATATATTATTATTTTTTAAAATTATAAATATTTTACTAACTTCAACTATGAATTAATTTTAAAAGTTAATTTATTGATATGTAAAAAATTAAGATTTCCTTTAAATAGTAATAAATAAATAAACAAACTTAAACTTTTTATTTTGTTTTGTTTTGTTTTTTTTTTTGGAATTTTAAAATAAATTCAAATGATCACTTACGCATATAAGTTTCATTTGAAATTCCTGGCATTAGTAGAAATATTAAATGGGTCAGAATATAAGTTTCATTGAAATTCCTGGCAATAGTAGAAATATTAAATAGGTCAGAGACTTGATGAGTGAGGATGGTGTTATAACTGGGATGCTGCCAAAGTAGACTTGATGAGTGAAGATGGTCATAGTTGGGATGCTGCCAAAGTAAAAGCCTCCTTTCCTGAAGAGTGGAGCACTGTTATTCTTTCCATTGACGCCATTGACCCTTCCAAGGAGGATGAGTGGATATAGAAGCTTCATAAGAAGGACTTTTTCTGTTTAATCTACTTATGCTCACCTCACCGAAAAGTTCTTGAAAAAATGCAAACCCCAGGGTAGCTCTGCACCAGCTTTAGACCTTAGAATCAGAAAGAAAAGTTGGCAAATCAAAGTAATGGGCAAAGTATTAAGTTGGCAAATCAAAGTAATGGGCAAAGTGAAATACTTTATCTAAAGATGCTGCAATGATGCTCTCCTTGTTGGTTCTCAGCTTCTTCAGAGAGGTCTGCAGGTGGATGTTAATATGGGATATTATATACTCAAGGATAAACCGGTCTACTTGGCCGGTCGAGAAGGTCAAACCAGGAGGAAGCCAAGACGAGAAGCGGGAAGGTCGAACATTCAGATAATCGACCAGGCAGGTGGTCGACCAGTCCATCGCATGACCAGACAAGCGATCGAGCAACCCATCGCTTGACCAGATACATGATCGAGCAACCTACTCGACCTCAACACGACCTCAACAGGTCGATCGTTTCGAGGAACCAACAATCGTCCTAGTCATGGGCGCGTGTATCACAGGCGCGCGTAAGAGCCTCTAACTGAATCTCAGGAGAATATTTACCCCATGTGCAGGAGGGACACGTGTCGATAATGTATTGGGTGATAGCGGTAACCACCTCTGACAGCTCCCAACGCCCTGCGCCACCTCTGACATGTGCGCGGCGTGTCAGAGTACGGACGGGCAGCTTGGGCAGCCAGCTCACCTTATTCGGGCAACTATTAGGGCATGTATCTCATCCCTATATAAGGGGGGTGAGTCTTTCTCCCTTAACACACTCTATTCATTACTCAATTCCAGTATACTCATACACATACTGACTTAAGCATTGGAGGCTCTTCACCGGACACAACCCCCGGTGCGAGAGTTATTTGCAGGTTTCCGGCGTTCTACCGGCAAGGACAAGAACCGATCTACTCCAAACCGGACCAGGACGCTCACACTTGCATTATTGGCGCCGTCTGTGGGGAATTCTTTGTTCAAAAAGTTGTGTTTGAAGCTCAGCTATGGCGGACGGAATTTCTAAAAACTTGCAGTCAACGTTCGACGAAGCTTGGACGACAACCAGGCCGTTGGGACACGGCCCTCCTCTGGGTTTTTCCGACCCATCGCAGACTCCGATCACTCCCGCGCCTATCCTTCAAGGTGTGGGAGTGACGAACGGCGATTCCCGGAGGAGATGCCAGTTCCAGTCGGGCCCAGGAGGCTCGCGCAGCAGCAGCTGCGGCGATGCCACCGCCACCGCCACCAGATCCAACACAAGGGCAGGGAGGAGCGATGGCGCAAGGAGGAGTGCCACCACAGGCAGCTGTACAAACCCTCGGCCAGCAAATGGTGGCGATGACCCGAGAGGAGATGCAGAGGATAGCGGCGGCTGCGGCAGCGCAGGCGGTGCAGCAAGTCACGAGTCATACATCCCATGCCACCACTGCGCCGACCACAGTGGCTGGAAGCCAAGATGAGGATGTGTCCAGTTATGGAGAAGGAGGAGCTGGAAGAGATCGGGCAATGGAGAGGATGGCAGAGCAGTTGCGCCAGTTGCAGGACAAGGTGGAGGGGAGGCCAGAGAGGAGAGCTCGAGGACATCCCTTTTCGAGGGAGATTCTCGCTGCTCCTTTGCCAAATAATTTCAAGGAGACCAACTTGGTGTATGATGGGTCATCTGACCCATCGAGGCATGTGAGGACCTTCGAAAATATGGCTGTGTTGCATGGATATTCTGATTCTGTTTGTTGCAGGGCATTTTTATCGACCCTGCATGGAGGAGCACTTGATTGGTTTCATCAATTACCCCCTGGGTCGATCGCGAGTTTTGAGGACTTTACCGGCAAGCTTATCAATCAATATTCGAGCGCGGTGGTGCAGGAGAAAACATATTTGACTCTAATGGCGATGAGGCAGGGGGAGAAGGAGTCATTGAGGAAGTATGTTGCTCGATATAATCAGACATGTTTAGAGGTGCACTCGGCTTCGGACGAGGTGAAAGCGGGAGGATTGATCAGGAGTCTTCGAGCAGGGCCTTGTCGAACTTCCCTGGCAAAGACCCCTGCTCGATCATATGAGGATGTTCTGAAGCGGTGCAAGAAGTATATTAATTTGGAGGAGATGGAGATGGAGTTTGCAAAGCTGGAAGGAGTGGCTCGGCCAGAGCCAAAAAATGAGAAAAGCCCGCAAAGGGGGAGATCGCCGAGGAGAAATTCGCCCAAACGGAGTGGGCAGAAGAGGGCATCACCCCAAAGAGAGAGTCGAGATTCGAAAAGGGAGAAGAGAGATGAGTGGCAGAGGAGGCCGATGTTGTTCGAGAGACAGAGATACCACACTTTTACGCCCTTGAGGAAAGACATGACAGAGGTCCTCGAGGCCATGGAGCAGAAGATGCCGAGCGAGGATGTGACTTGGCCGAAGATGAGGTTTACAGGCCCAATTCGACCTAGGTCGGATATTTACTGTCGCTTTCACCGAGATTATGGTCACACCACGGAGAACTGTAGACATTTGAAAGATGAGATCGAGAGGTTGATTCGAGCGGGATATTTGAAAGAATTTGTGTATCACGATAGGGTGAAAGGGAAAGGAAGGAGAAGGTGCAGAGAGGATTCCGAAGAAAGGAGTGATAGGGATGAGGAAGGAGATGGCGGAGATGGTCGAGACGGTCGAGGAAAGAAGCCAAGGAGAGATGGCGACAAGGGAAGGCATGGAGGAGAAGCCCCGATGAAGAAAGGGACGATTTACATGATTTCCGGTGGGCCAACGGATGGTGACTCGAATAGGGCCAGGAAAGAGCATGCTCGAGCTGTGAAAAGGAAGAGAGAGGAGGTAGGAATTACGGCCCGCATGCCGGTGATAAGTTTTAAGGCGGAGGATGCCGAGTCCTGCCGCACAACGATGCTTTGGTGATAACCGCGGAGGTTGCAGGCTTCGATGTGAAAAGGGTGTTTATTGATACCGGGAGTTCGGTGGACGTGATGTTCTATGAATGTTTTGTGCAAATTAACAAGGAGTTGAATATGGAGTTGAAACCGGTGACCACAACACTCTATGGCTTTAATGGAGGAGAGGTGATGCCGATGGGCGAGGTGAGTTTTCCAGTGGCGCTGGGAGTGGGAGAGCTGAGGAAGGTGCGCATGGTGAGGTTTGTGGTCGTAGGAGTTGAATCATCTTATAACATCATTATGGGACGGACGAGCTTGAATGCGTTCCAGGCGGTCGTATCCACGTACCACATGACGATTAAATATCCAGTGGGCGAAAACGTAGGGGAGATTGTCGGGGACCAGCTCACTTCGAGGATCTGCTACCAAACAACAGTTAGCAATAATAAACAACTGGCGAAGAGGCAGGCCAAGTCAGAGGAGGAGGGGATTAATCGACTAGGTGGGTCGAGGTCGAAAGAGGATAAACAGAGAATAGAGAAGGGTAAGGAGAAGATGGATATTCAGCCAGGGGGAGAGGTGGAGGATATTCAGATGATCGAGGGGCGTGAGGAGAGGAAGTTCAGAATAGGGAAAGACTTGGAGGAGCCTATTCGGTCAAGGCTTATCGATCTAGTCAGGGAGTTCGCTGACATTTTTGCCTACACAGCGGAGGAGTTGACGTGGATAAGTGCGAAAGTGATCGAACACCGGCTGAACATCGACCTCAGTGTGAGGCCGGTGAAACAAAAAAGAAGGCACCATGGGGCGGAGATGGACAAAATCATTGAGAAGGAGGTCGAGGAGCTATTGGGAGCAGGGCATGTCAAGGAAATCCAGTTCCCGAATGGTTGTCAAATACGGTGATGGTGTCGAAGGTGGAGGGAAAATAGAGGATGTGCATTGATTTCCGTGACCTGAACAAAGCGTGCCCAAAGGATCTATACCCGCTGCCCAGAATCGACCAGTTGGTCGACTCAACGGCAGGGTGCAAATTGCTGAGCCTGATGGATGTCTCCCAGGGATATCATCAAATTCCCTTGGCAAGAGAAGACAGGAAGCGGGTGAGTTTTGTAACAAATCGAGGGACCTATTGTTACGTGGTCATGCTGTTCGGTCTAAAGAATGCGGGTGCCACATATCAAAGGTTGGTCGATAAAATTTTCAAGGAGCAACTGGGAAGGAACATGGAGGTATATGTGGACGATATGTTGGTGAAAAGCAAAGAGGAGTTGGATCATGTGCGAGACTTGAGAGAAAACATTCCTAACATTGCAGAGGTATGGGATGAAATTGAATCCTGCTAAGTGCTCTTTCGGGGTGAGGTCGGGAAAGTTCTTGGGTTACTTGGTGACCAAGAGAGGTATTGAAGTGAATCCTGAGAAGGTTCGAGCTGTAATGGAGATGAAGCCGCCGACGAATGTTAAAGAAGTGCAGATCTTAGCTGGTCGAATTGCGGGGCTGAGTCGTTTCATATCGAAGGTGGCGGAGAGGAGTGGCCCATTATTTAAAACATTAAAGAAGAGTGCAAAATTCCAATGGACGAAGGAGGCGCAGGGGGCCTTCGAGAAGTTGCGAAGAGTGTTAGCCAACCTTCCCCTATTGGCTAAACCCGTACAGGGCGAGGAGTTGGTGCTATACATTTCTATAGGAGAGAGGGCGGTGAGCTCGGTGTTGTTACGGGAGGAAGGAGTAGCGCAATTCCCCATCTACTACGTGAGTAGGGTGATGCAGGGGGCAGAGATGAGATACTCGGAGATTGAGAAGTGTGCATTGGCCGTGGTCGTAACGGCTCGAAAGTTGAGACCTTATTTCTTGAACCATAAAGTGAAAGTACGAACAAACATGCCGTTGGGAGAAACGCTTGGCCGACCATCGGTCTCTGGTCGATTGGTGAAATGGGCAGTCGAGTTGAGTGAGTATTCTTTATTGTACGAGCCAAGGAGGGCCATAAAGGCGCAAGTGTTGGTCGATTTTATCCAGGAGGGCACGAAAGTTGAGGAGGAGTCAGGAGGATTATGACAGTTATTCGTGGATGGATCTGTGGCGCGAAGCGGGGC